GGCCCCTTTGGGGGATGGGGTAGCTGGGCCTCCTTTTGGGGAGGGAGGGTTTGCAGCTGGGGGAGTGGGGGCCCCTTTGGGGGATGGGGTAGCTGCTGGACCTCCTTTGGGGGAGGGAGGAGTTGCAGCAGGGGGTGTGGGGGCCCCTTTGGGGGATGGGGTAGCAGCTGGACTTCCTTTTGGGGAGGGAGGAGTTGCAGCTGGGGGAGTGGGGGCCCCTTTGGGGGATGGGGTAGCTTGGCCTCCTCTGGGGGAGGGAGGAGTTGCAGCTGGGGGTTTGGGGGTTCCTTTAGGGGATGGGGTAGCTGGGCCTCCTTTGCGGGAAGGAGGAGTTGCAGCTAGGGGTGTGGGGGCCCCTTTGGGGGATGGGGTAGCTGGGGCCTTTTTGAGGGAGGAAGAAGTCCTGGATAGAGCGGGAGGAGCGGGAGCCTGTTTGGGTGCTGGGGTAGCTGGACCCTCTTTGGGGAAGGGCGGATTCACAACTGAAGGAGTGGAGGTCTCTTTGGGGGTTAGTGTTACTCTTTTGGGAGACAGAGGAGTCACAGCTGAGGGAGCAGGGGCCCCTTTGGGGGATGGAGGAGTGGGAGAATGCTTCGTGGTGGGTGAGTCTTTAGAGTCTTGGAAAGAAAGACTATTCTCTGGAAGAAATGAAGCTTCAACTGGAGAAACAGGGGACGAGAGATTTCCAACAGGAGTATCAGGGCCAGCAGAACCCTTCTTGGTTGGAGGTCTTTTAGTCTGAGACACACTAACCCCTAAAGGAGATGGGGAGTCAGCTAGGTAAGTCAGAGATCCTTTGGAAGATGCAGTAGCAGAAGCACCAGAGTCCTCAGTTGGGCACTCTTTGAGAGAGGAAGCAACAGCTGCCAGTGCTGAAGTATGAGAAATACCATCAACCTTTTTTGTACCTGGAGGAGTCCCACCTGCGGGAAGAGAGGGTGAGGGCACAGACTTTGGGATTTCAGGGGCCAGCACTAAGGTAGCCAGAGGAGCAGAGGTATTCTGGGGGGATGGAGCCACAGGGCAATCTGAAGCTGTAGGAACCAAGGATAAAGTAGTAAGAGTGGAAGTACCTTCCTTAACTGGGTGGTTTTCAGGAGCTAAAGAGACAGTTCCTTCTAGAAAAGGGCTGGCTGTAGCTGTATAAGTTGAGGTACCTTTGGCAGTTTTGGGAGCCACCCCAGCAGGGTCAGCACTTTGCAAAGGAAATGCAGTCACTGTTGGGGTAATGAGAGAACTTTTGAGAAGCAGACCAGCAGAGTCTGGGTCTGCATAAGAATCTGTCTTGATTACAGAGGCCGAGGAGGAGTTAATACCCAGCGGGGAGGTCACAGTGCTGGTTGGCTTACCTATAGGGAGAGGGCCTCCAAGGCTTTTCTTTGCTACGGTGGTTTCAGGAGAAAGAGATATCTCTGGAGAAGAGGATGTACTTTGGAAAGAAGGGGAATTTTTACGAACTGTCTGGGCTAATGGTAACACAGTAGGGTCTTTCTTGGTGGTGAGTTCTGCTTGGGCTGGAGAGAAAGCAGCTCCGTCAGGAGAGGCAGGTACAGTTTGGAGGTCTTTTTGTGTTGGAAATGTAACCAATACTGAACTGGGGAGATTTTTGAGGTCTTCAGGGTCTGGCAGAGGAGGAGAGACTGGTGTCCTCAGAGTGGTTGCTACTTGAGTAGAAGGCTCTTTGGGAGCCACAGGTGCCATAACCAAGGCAGCAGGGGAAGTTGGTTCTATATTACTTATGGGACCTGATGAAATTGGAGGAGAAACACAAGTAGCTACCTCAAAGGTAGTAGCTGCTGCATCAATTGTACAGGGGTTAGTCACCACAAGTGGGGTGGTTCCAACAGAAGAAACAGGCATTTGGGCCACTAAAGGATAATGATGAGTGGCATTAGGAGAGCTTTTGAGAATGAGAGAGGTCGTAGGAGATAATGAAGAGGAGGTAGCTACATTTAAGGAGCCAGGAGGGCTGTAGGTTATGCTAGTGATGGTAGAGGGACCTTTGTCAACAGATGGAGCCACCACTGGAAAGCCAGCCACAGTAGCAGGAACTACTTCATTTCTGGAAGGAAGGGGAGGAATTACAGATCTCTGAGAAGGATAAGAGTCCCCTGTGGAAGAATGATCTATAGAAATGGTCTTCACTGTAGGGTCTGTCAAAGCACTGGGACTTGTTTGACCTGAAGGTTGGACAGAACCAAAAGAACTTTGATACAAAGGTGCAAGATGAGAGCCCAGATAAATGGGAAAATCTGGGGGGGTGTTGGGACCCACAGTCTTTTGAGAAGAGGTCACCACAGGAAGAGACTGAGTTGAAAGAGGTAAGGCAGCAGATGGACTAACAGGCCCCTTTAGGCTGAGGCTTCCTGGGTTTTGCGGAGAAGTTAGAGCTGAGGAAATGGTGGTATCTTTGACTTGAAGCGAAGTGATAGCTAGGGTAGTTGTGGGTGTTGTCTGAGGAAGGGAGGCCATTCCAGATTGAACAGAGGCCACGGGAGCCACACAGTGGTAAGGAACGGTACTGACTATACATGGAGGACTGGGGGTGCCTTTTGGATTAGGGACTACCTCAGAGGGAACTTTAATAAGATTAGTCTTTGGTTCTGAGGGAGCAATGGGAGCTGACAGTGATATCACTGACCCTGACTCAGCTACAGCCACTGAAGGAGGTGAAGAAGGAAGGTTAGGTGGAAAAGCAGAACTCTTCTGAACTGAGTGGGGAGCCAGGGCAACCAGAGCTAAGGGAGCTGAAGAGGAAGGCGTCCCTTTCAGAGTTGGAGCTATCATGGGAGAGGCCAGAGCTAAGGCAGCTGGGGAGATGGGAGGCCCTATTAGGTTTGGTAGGAAAGTTGGGGCTTCAGGGGCAGTTCCCAAAGGTAGGGCTGTTCCAGAGGATGACTGGGTAAAAGGAACTTCAAAAGGGGTCGAGGCAATAGTAGAGGGGGAAGGGAATGGGGCAGCCTGGTTAGCAGTTGACAGAGGGCACTGTTGTGGGGCAGGAGAGCAAGGAGGGGGGAGGGTTTGTCCAGGCTGGCCTAAGGCAGCAGTGACACTCAAGGCTGAAGACATAGGTAGCACAGCTGGAGAAAGGCAAAAGGAGATAAAGAAAGGGGGGGGAGGAGAAAAAAGGTGAGTTATGCAGCCCAACTTGGTACAACATGCCTCCTAGGACACACTCGAGTTTAAAATCTGACAGTCTAAGTGACCACGCAGGATTAGATAAAGGTGACACGCAACAACAACCTTCCCCAAACATTTTTCAGCAGTCAAGTGAGAAGACATTCCTCTCCTAATTTCTCACACTTCCCCAAGTTCTATCAAAGTAAACCAACTATTTTAGGGTGAGGAGAACAGTCTAAGAGTAGCCTATCTCTAAATGGGGAGCACAGACACTTGGGAGGTTGGGAACAACATGTTTTCTACCCTTTCCCAGTTGTGCTCTCCCCTTACTTCTTAAAATGGACTGTGTTCCCAAGTCTTTCTCACAGCCAACAGAATTACCACAAAGAACAGCTAGCTATGCTACTCTGTCCACCCAAATATCATGAACTAACGGAAAAAATACCAAAAACTGGAACAAAGAAGATAGTGAGCAGTGATGATGATGGGGAATCTGAAGTAAGAAAAAACAGGCTTTTATACTTTCAGGCTTCCACTAGACTAGGAAAAATCTGAATACAAAAATACAAAAATTAGCTGAGCGTCGTGGCACGCACCTGTAATACCAGCTACTCAGGAGGCGGAGGCAGGAGAATTGTTTGAACCCGGGAGGCGGAGGTTGCAGTGAGCCGAGATTGCACCACTGCACTCCAGCCTAGGCAATGGGGAGAAACTCCGTCTCAAAAAAAAAAAAAAAAAAAAAAAAAAAAAAAAAAAAAAAAAAGAAGTGAATTGGAGTGGCGAGAATACACTTGATCCCCACTCCTTAACTTGGAATTTAAGTATTTCATTATGTCAAAATACACCAATATTTGGCATGACAGTAAGACAGTATTTCTGGCATTCAGGAGGTAACACAGAATTGGATCAACAAATGCTCAATGCTTAGCAGGCAATGTTACACGGGGGGGAAAAAAAGTCAGTGGTATCAAAATTCAAATTCAAAATTCACTGAACCAGTAATTCTGAAGTTCTTATGGCATGCTACCATGGAAAAGACAAGGTGGCTCAACCAGTTTTTCCTGTAGAGTGGGTAGGCCAAAGTCTAACGATTACAGGAAAACACTACCAAACATAATGAATCACAAAAACATGGAATATATTTTCTTCTGACTGTACCTCAAATGGAATAAGGCCCCAAATACTTGCTTTGACACCATAACCAATTCCTTGAGCTTCCTACTTCATTCTAATAGATTGTCATTACAGACAAAATCCTGTGTATTTATCATTGGTACTTCCTTAATATAAGCCTACTATACAACTCAAACTATTCAGGAATACATTTAATAGCATTAAGGACTGTTTCAGAAGTAAATGCATTAGTTTTGAAGCTTGAATCAGATTTTTCTAAATTCATCTGAATTTCAAGTCTTCATATTTGTAAAATTAAGTTGTTCAATGACACAATCTCTAAAATCTCGTTTTGTACCGAAATCACAGAATCTTTAGAGAAGAGTACTTCATTTTTTCCCTTCCTTAAGCCCCTTGTACTTCAAGAATTTCATATTGTTTATACTCCAGCTCAGAACTCCCCATTCTTCCTAGCAGCTGTATTGATCCCTTCAGCTGCTAAAATCAAACAGGTGGGAAGCTTAATGCTTTCAACCATAAGCAACTCTACTGTAACTCCAAAAGGGGAAAGGACTTGCCCTTAAATAACAAATGAAATAAAAAAAAATCATAAAAAGGTGAGAATGAAGATTACAGCCTGAAGAGTCCCTTCATTTAGCGCTGCACAACTGACTCAGAAAGGCTATCATTTTAAGAACTTTTCACTACCTCCTCCTAAGTTTTTTAGAGATATGTTTTAACCAGAATTTAAAAATTAGCCTTCACAGTCACTACTTTCAACGTTGAGGATAAAAGCAGGATTTATTTCAATCCTGGGTTTCACACAATGATGCAGGAACTATTCCAGCACACTAGAAATATCTCAGCACCACCAATCCATAAACAAGTTATACGACCTAGGAGGACTCTGGGGCCCAGCAAGACACACTTACCACCAGCACACATCTCACCCAGACATGTGATAAAGGCACAATGCCAAGCTCTGTCAACTAAAACCTTGATGCAACTTGCTGGCTGGAGCTTCACAAATGCTCCGGGCTCCTTGGCCTGTGTCACCTAGTTCCAATAGGTAAGAATCACCGAGCCCCTTCCCTGCTCAGTTTTCCTATGTGAGGTGGGGGTTCCACAGGAGAGCTTCTTTAGAGGCAACAGGCATAACAGAAAGCAAGCTAGGGAACTTTTAACGTCCACGAATCTTAAAAACATTACTTTTACTCCAAATTCCTAAAGTAGTAACTCCAGGATAGTAATTTTACGGTCTATCCTCCTCGGTAAAGCTGCAACCCCATCCTCTTACACAGTGTACTTCCTCTTGGTCATTTTGTCACCAAATGGCCTTAGGGTCAATTTTAATTAATGGCAAGGGGGGTAGGGGAACCTACCTGTCTCAGCCTGGGGCTGCGGCAACTCCTGCTCTGTAGCAGGGACGGTTTCTGTGGCTTCGCCGGGCATTTCTGAAGGAAGGGAATATAAAGGAGGCCTGAATGATTGGGATACATTCACTTGCCCAACCCAGAGACAAGTATTCTTAAAAACTCCGTGGAGGGCCGTTAGAAAAAAACCGTGAGGGTGTTTGGGGACAACCTTCCCCAAAGCACCTGGGAATAAGAGGTAAATATGTGACCCTTACGCCTCTATCAAGGCCAGCAATTCCCAGTTGCATTCTCAACCCGAGGGAGAGGATCCAGGGCTGGCTCCCGATCACAGGCGACTTCAGACGCTACCGTGAACCCTCTCCACTCCTAATACTCACACTGGCCAGGCTGGGGCCTCCTGGACTACGTTTGTCGACTTTGGGGACCCAGGAGGGGAAAGACGGTGCTGTAAGTTCAACACTTGCTTGTCACAATGAGAACGGTGTTGGAGGTTCTAAGGCTGTGACCCCTGACCCTTTTCTGGATCCCTTAAAGCAGTTCCCAAAACAAGACGCACTTCTCTTCTGCCCTCAACACTGCAACTGCTTCCATCTCTGCAGGCTCGGATTCCGGGCCCGGCCCGCAGCCCTTCTATTCTGCTTTTGCCAGGACACCAACCGCAGACCCCATTTTGTCAGGAAGCCCAGGGGCGAGTAGGAACCCTGTGGCCCCGTAAAGCCTCCAACTCTCCTTAACTCTCAGTCCCCGGGGCAGCTTAGCCCGAAAGAAAGGCGGATGGCTGCGGATAGAGAGTAGCGGCACAGAAAGTACTTACTGTTCAGAGAACGCGGAACCAAGATGGCGGCAGAAAGAGAGCGAGGGAGAGCGTGACCCACGCCTGTTGCAGAAGGAAGCCTGGAGCAGAAGGGGTGGGACTAGGATCCGATTCCGGGTCAAGAGCTGCCGGCAGCCACTTGCTTTGACGAGTGGCCGTCAGGCCGTTCCCACGGCGGGGGTGGTGACAAGGACTAAATAAGGGTAAGAATTCAGAACAGGACTCGCAGGCCTAGCAGGAGCTCTCTGCGCGGAGCCATGCAGTCCTCAGAACGAAGCAGACTCCGCCCTCCAGTCCGCAAAGTGGCGACTGCGGTATTAAGGCGACCTAGCGATTTCTCAAATAGCTCGGGAAGATAAGACATTAAATAGCGAATGCTACAGAGACTGTATTCACAGCGTTGGGGGGTGGAAGTGACCTAGGCTAACCAATTATTTTTGGAACACATGATGTGAAAATTAACATTTAAAAGCTGCTGGACGCTCCCCCTACCAAAAAAACAAAACAAAACCCATTTTAAAACTTGACAGATGTGATGGGTCACATATAACTTCAGATTATAAATTTAATTCGATTTTTCTTTTTCTGTTCAATGACTAGAGAGACTCAAACGATGTCACCATATGACAGCAACTCATGAGTGTTAAACTCTCTGTAAAACAATGTTAGCTGTACCCCACCTCAAAAAAAAAAAAAAACAAAAAACAAACAACAAAAAAACACTGCTTGTAACCAAATTCTGTAATTATGCTCCAACCTTGTATAGATAACGTAATCCAGCTAAAAACTTCTCTGTCTGCCTAAGTAAATGAAATCTTAACTTCCCTGCTTCTGAAGGCTGACCTCCATTCTTTGGAGTTGGTTTTTTGGTTGGTCTACCCTCACACTGCCCTTGAATAAATTCTTTAAACAGATTCTGGCCCTTTTGATTGTTTTAGGTTCACGACGGTTTAGGCTGATGTTGAAATTATAAAGCTGCAGATTCTCCTTTCCAGAAAAAAAACATAGGCACGTATACAATTCCTTTGCTTGCTATTTTGGGCACTTCTTGGATATTCTTTTTTTTTTTGTTTTGAGAGAGTCGCTCTGTCAGCCAGGCTGGAGTGCAGTGGCATGATCTCAGTTCACTGCAGTCTCCATCTCTTGGGCTCAAGTAATTGTCCCGCCTCAGCCGCCTGAGTAGCTGGGATTACAGGTGTTTGCCACCATGCCCAGCTAATTTTTGTATTTTTTTTTTTTTTTTTTTTTGAGACGGAGTCTCGCTGTGTCACCCAGGCTGGAGTGCAGTGGCCGGATCTCAGCTCACTGCAAGCTCCGCCTCCCGGGTTCACGCCATTCTCCTGCCTCAGCCTCCCGAGTAGCTGGGACTACAGGCGTCCTCCACCTCGCCCGGCTAGTTTTTTGTATTTTTTAGTAGAGACGGGGTTTCACCATGTTAACCAGGATGGTCTCAATCTCCTGACCTCGTGATCCGCCCGTCTCGGCCTCCCAAAGTGCTGGGATTACAGGCTTGAGCCACCACGTTCGGCCTAATTTTTGTATTTTTAGTAGTGACGGGGTTTCACCATGTTGGCCAGGCTGGTCTTGAACTCCTGACCTCAGGTAATCCGCCTGCCTCGGCCTCCCAAAGTGCTGGGATTACAGGCTTGAGCCACCACGTTCGGCCTAATTTTTGTATTTTTAGTAGTGACGGGGTTTCACCATGTTGGCCAGGCTGGTCTTGAACTCCTGACCTCAGGTAATCCGCCTGCCTCGGCCTCCCAAAGTGCTGGGATTATAGGCGTGAGCCACTGTGCCTGACCTGTTTTGTGTTTGAGACAGAGTCTCGCTCCTATTGCCCAGGCTGGGGTGCAAAGGTGGGATCTCTGCTCACTGCAACCTCTCCATCCCGGGTTCAAGCGATTCTCCTGCCTCAGCCTCCTGGGTACCTGGGATTACAGGCATGCGCCACCATGCCAGGGTAATTTTTTTTGTATTTTTAGTAGAGACGGGGTTTCTCCATGTTGGCCAGGCTGGTCTGCTCCTGACTTCAGGTGATCCGCCTGCTTCGGCCTCCCAAAGTGCTTGGATTACACGCGTGAGCTACCGCCCCCAGCACTTCTTGGATATTTTAAACTTATTCATTCTAGGTGTCTGGGACCCCACCTTAAACCATGCTATGTACAACTGTATTTTTGAAAAGTAGAATGTAAAATCAGTGTTGTGTTAATGAAAAGGCTCCCATTTCTTTCCATAGCCCTACAAAAGAACTCAACAAATATGTGCTGTACCTGAATTAGCTAAACCAGTCAACGCTATTTTATTTTTTTTTGAGGCAGAGTCTCGCTCTGTCACCCAGGCTGGAGTGCAGTGGTGTGATCTCGGTTTACTGCAATTTCCGCCTCCCGGGTTCAAGCGATTCTCTTGTCTCAACCTCGGAGTAGCTGGGATTATAGGTACGCGCCACCCCGCCCGGACTCCTGACCTTAAGTTATCCGCCTGCCTCAGCCTCCCAAAGTGCTGGGATTACAGGTGTGAGCCACTGTGCCTGGCCTGATTTAATAGCTTTAAGACGACTGTGGCCGCCTTTTTTTTTTTTTGAGATGAGGTCTCGCTCTGTCACCCAGTCTGGAGTGCAGTGGCGTGATCTCAGCTTACTGCAACCTCCACTTCCCGGGTTCTGGCAATTCTGCCACAAAAATTCTCCTGTTTCACCGTGTTGCCCCGGCTGGTCTCGAACTCCTGAGCTCAGGCAATCCACCCGCCTTGGCCTCCCATAGTGCTAGGATTACAGGCGTGAGCCACGGCACCTGGTGTGGCCGCCTTTTAAGGGAAGCAGTGAAAATTTAAAATGCTTTGAAAGCTACTTTAACATTTCTGAAATCCTTAGTGTAGTGAAATGAGGATTAGGATTGGTGAATTAGAATTAAGTGAGATAGTAGGGTTTACCAGGAATGGGAAATTCTGAAATCCTCCTCAAATAGGAGAGGCAATATTGTGGAGTCCTTACAGACAGACTCTGAAATAAGACTCCTTTGTTTGAATCTATTAGGTCAGTTTAGGCAATTAAACTATATGTATATTCATCTCAGTTTCCTGATCTGTAAAATGGGAAAAATCGTAGCTACTTGATAGGATTATTAGGAAGATTAAATTAGTCTATGTATACACACACACTCTCACACTCTAATTGGAAGGAAAAAGAAACAGTCTTATCGCATAAAATTATCACATGTAATCTTTATATAAAACTTAAAAAGTTTGTTACTATTAAATTGTAGATATAATCAGTTTCTACCTAATAAATACATGATCTGGAAGATTTTCTTTCTTTTTATTTATTTATTTATTTATTTATTTATTTTTGAGACGGAGTCTTGCTCTGTCGCCCGGGCTGGAGTGCAGTGGCCGGATCTCAGCTCACTGCAAGCTCCGCCTCCCGGGTTCACGCCATTCTCCTGCCTCAGCCTCCCGAGTAGCTGGGACTACAGGCGCCCGCCACCTCGCCCGGCTAGTTTTTTGTATTTTTTAGTAGAGACGGGGTTTCACCATGTTAGCCAGGATGGTCTCGATCTCCTGACCTCGTGATCCGCCCGTCTCGGCCTCCCAAAGTGCTGGGATTACAGGCTTGAGCCACCGCGCCCGGCCGATCTGGAAGATTTTCAATGCAGTCCTTTAGTCCATTTACCTTCAGAAGGACCAGAAATAACCAATCTCCTTAGACAAAACTACATATTGACAATTTTTCTTTCTTCCCCAGCAAGCCCACTTACTTTTTCCTCTCTCTGTGGTAATGACTAGCCAAGAAAGAATGTATTTTTTTCTTTTCCTTTTTTTGAGGTAGGGTCTGGCTCTGTTGCTCAGGCTGGAGTACAGTGGGGTGATTATGGCTCACTGCAGCCTCCGCCTCCTGGGCTTAAACGATTCTCCCACCTCAGTCTCCCAAGTAGCTGGGACTATAGGTGCACACCACCACGCCCAGTTAATTTTTGTATTTTTTGTAGACACAGGGTTTTGCCATGTTGCCCAGGCTGGTCTTGAACTGGCCTCAAGTGATCTGCTCACTCGGCCTCCTAAGTGCTGGGAGCCACCATGCCCAGCTAGTGTTTGTCAAGTTGGCAATTTTGAAGATAGAAGCCGTTTCTGTGACTCTTTTGTTTCTACAGTTCTAATGTGTTACTGAATTGGCAAATCAAGAAAAGGGGAAGTCAATAGTCTTTGGGTATATTTTTGCTGTCTTTAAGAACTAAACATTGGCTGGGTGCCATGACTCACACCTGTAATCTCAGCAGTTTGGGAGGCCAATGCAGGTGGACTGCTTAACCCAGGAATTAGAGACCAGCCTGGGTAAGATGGCAAGACCCCGTCTCCACAACAAAATAAAACATAAGTCTGGCAAGGTGGCGCATACCTGTAGTCCCAGCTACTCTAGAAGCTGAGGCATGAGGATCCCTTGAGCCCAGGAGTTAAGACACTTTAATGCTAGACATACTTATAAAACGATAATGAAAGCTTAAAATGTCTGTTTTTGAGGCCGGGCGCAGTGGCTCACGCTTGTAATCCCAGCACTTTGGGAGGCTGAGGCGGGCGGATCATGAGGTCAGGAGATGGAGACCATCCTGGCTAACACGGTGACACCCCGTCTCTACTAAAAATACAAAAAATTGGCCGGGCGTGATGGCATGCGCCTGTAGTCCCAGCTACTCAGGAGGCTGAGACAGGAGAATGGCGTGAACCCGGGAGGCGGAGCTTGCAGTGAGCCGAGATGGTGCCACTGCACTCTAGCCAGGGCTGCAGAGTGAGACTCCGTCTCAAAA